AGCCAGGCGCCGGGGCGGGAGCTGCCTGCACCACTGGGGAACGGCAGGGCGGCAGGCAGATGACTTGTAGGGGGCACGGCGGGAGCAGGGGGCGCTGAGAGGCTGATGTGGGGTCAACAGCGTTATAAGGAGATCAACCCCGCCCCACACGGGAAAGGTCACAGCCAACATTTCTGGGAAACTGGGGTCACTTGCGGTTACTATTGGTCAAATTTGGGGTCACTAGAGGTCAAATCCTCCCCCCCATTGGGTGAAGGGTTGCAGCCAATTTTGGGGGAAACTAGAGGTCGCTGAGAGTTCAAGCTGGGGCTACTATAGCTCAAATCCCTCCTAACCAGCTGAAAGGTCCCACCTCATTTCAAACAGGAAGGCGGGGGAAATGGGACCAGTGTAGCTTGGCAACAGGGCCCAGTAAGTGTTTGGGGGCTAACAGGGAATGGTATACCTCAGTAGCTGGGACCAGTATATCTCTGTAACGGGTCAGTAAGTGGGGGCATAAGTGAAACCAATATAGCTGGGTAACATGGACCGGTAAGAGGGGGGTTACTGGGACCAGTAAGCGGGGGGCAATTGGGAGTGGGGACTTGGCCAGTGAGGCCGGGTACCCAGGGCCAGTAGAGCTGAGCCTGTGGGACCAGTATGGTGGTGACTGGTGCGCACATTCCCGTTGGCACTGGTACTGGTGCCCGGGGGGGGGTTAGCTCTGTGCTCCCCACCTTGGGCCTGCATATGCATGGCCTTCAGATGCATACAGAGGCCTGCCACTGCCCCCATGCTGTCAGCAGAGCAACCCCCCCCGCCCCCCAAATAACGAGCCAGGCCGTGGCACTGTCTCCTCCACTTTATTGAGTCACGCGGGCCCAGGATGTGGACACACGGCCATGGGGGCTGTACATGGGTCGCCATGGCACCAGTCAGAGAGGGGGAGGTGCTGCCGCCTGGTCCGGGGGCAACGCAGAGGGGCTTGGGGGGGGCAATAATTTACTGGGCAGTCAGAATAATCACAACAACGCCCGGGGGCGGCCGCAACGGGCTAGAAATACACGTGTGACTATGTACAGGGGCTGGGGCAGGGGGGGCCGGGGCGCTTCGCAGTAAGGGGACAAAATGGAGGGAAGAAAGTGAAGCAGCAGGAGCCAAGCGAGCAAGCAACAGGGCAGCATGGGCAGGGCAGCCTGCAGCGCGGCCGGGCCCAGCCGTGAGGACAGGTCCAAGGGACGAGAACGAGCGCCGCAGCCGGGAGGCGCCAGGAGCAGCGGGGAGGAGCCTGGGGAGCACCAGCGCCGCCGCCCCAGGCCGTGCACACCTGGGGGCCCAGCGCCGCACCATGCCCTGCCCTGTGGCAGACAGGCCCCAATTCAGGGGAAAAAGCTATGTACAGCACCCGGCTGCCCTGCCCCACCCCAGTCCCAAACCCAGGGGTTTGCTCATGCCGGGGGGTCCAGGCCCTGCTGGGCTGGGGGGCAGGTCAGGGACAGCAATGGGGTGGGGGCAGGGACCCAGGTGTCTCTCTCTCTCACGTGCGCACACACACAAGCATGCGCGTACACCTCCCCCCACCCCAGCTTCCAGTGCTGGGAGGAGCCCGGTGCCCGGGGACCCCTACGGTGGGGGGGCAGGGAACCCAGGCATCCGGGCTGCGTGCACGCACGCACACACACACACACACGCACGCACGCACCCACATGCGCACATTCAAGCCCCAAGCACTGGGGACCCAGGTGTCTGGGGGGGCTCAGGAGTAGTAGTGGGCGCCATTGAGGATGTGGGAGGAGAGACTGGCAGAGCGGCTGAGCCCGGGGTCGCCAGGGGAGCCGCCAGAGGCTGTGCGGCGCAGGGGCTGGGGGCTGTTGCGGGGGGCGGAGCCCCGCGGGGCACCAGGGGGGCCCGGCAGGGGGGGCAGGAG